ACTTACACTGGAATTTCTAACCCCAGTTCTTACACGGAGAAACGACATAGGGACGTGTTGCATAGCAAACATACTGTATCATACCGGTTGTTGGCTAAGGTGTTATTAGAAAGACTTTTAATCAGTTTCTCGCTGTACTTTGCCCTGCGATTGTTGTAGCGCTGGTACGTTCGCATGGCCATAAACGCACAACCCCCCGCCATTATGATTAACCCTTGGAACGGTTCTTCATAGTGAACATAGTGCACACCTCTCGTAACCAATAAACCCAAAGCACTCGTTGCCATCAGGCTGAACTGGTGAGAAACAAGGCAAGTGGCTATATGAGATACTTGAATGCGGATACACAAATACAAGTGCGAACTGCGGCGAAACTGTGTGCGTGTAAGGATGGCGGTTTTATATAAGGTACACATTACACACGTCTCACTATCGACTCTCTCCGAGCACTCGTAGCCATTAACTGAACTGGTGAAGTGACAAGGTTCGATGTGGGATAGGTTTGTATGTAGTCGGAGAGGGGTGAGGTAAAACTAAACTTATGATAATTCGGTGCAGTTGAGTATATCAATAGAATGTTCTGTCTGGTGTGCCTGGTGGGCCCTACTTGCAACCAACAGGCCCCGTGCTGTGCTGACGTTGCCATCAGGTTAAATGGGTGAGGAAAACCATGGCGAGTGGGACATTGGAACATAAACGAGGTATACAATGGTATATACACAGGTATCATTTGACATAGCGAGCTATCACAGTCATGTGGTGAGTGGGACATTGGAACATAAACGAGGTGTACAATGGTATATACACAGGTATCATTTGACATAGCGAGCTATCACAGTCATGTGGTGAGGGGGACATTGGAACATAAATGAGCTGTACAATGGTATATACACAGGTATCATTTGGCATAGCGAGCTATCACAGTCATGTGGCGAGGGGGACATTGGAACATAAACGAGCTGTACAATGGTATATTCACTGGTATGATTTACATAGCGAGCTATCAGTCATGTGGCGAGGGGGCTCGAGAGAGCGGGGTCTACACTACACTTAGGGGGGTCCTCCGCCATATAACCATAAAGTCTTATCGAGATAAAGCATTTCCCTACGAGACAATTTGTTCGGCCACCGCTAGTGACTCTGTCCGCGTACATATAAATATAACGCCTTTAAACCCCAGAGCTAGGCGGACCGTAACTCTATGCCCAGTTATACTCTACATGTAGCTCTATTAGTGTGGCATAAGGCTACGTAGCAAACTATAACTTCGCCCGCTCCAGTTATGACTAAAGTATAGGGAGGAAGGGAGGGAAAGGGTATCTGGGTAGGAGTGTGGGCCGGGAATCTAAAAACTTCAATGCCACAGATGGTACGATTTGAAACTTCAATCTGATACACGACAGCTTACCATTGTATAACATTGCGGTCCTAACTAGTCGAGTCTTGTTTAGAAGAATAGGCAGAAGGCCGTAGAACCGGAAACAATATATAACTATTAAGATCGTGTGAGATAAGTTAGACTATTATATTAGAATTCAGACAGCTCACCGTCGCCTGCCTCAGGCGGCCACCAAGGAGTTAGAGCAGTGAATTACAGAACCTCAAACAATCTAAAAATAAACACTACTTGAATCTAAAAATAAACACTATTTGAAGGCACGAGGCTACTATCACCAAACCCTATCAAGGCTCTGAATAGAGTACACCTAAACAATCTGAGAGGTTGGCTCATTCTCAACTATCGATCTACACATATTGAGATCACCATCAGCTCTCCATGGTAGTGATGCCTAGTTAAGTCTTGGGTAGAGGGGCCTGCGGGTGATCACAAAACTCCTAAACTTCAACAACCGTTTCAATCAAGAACCATGCATGTGGTAGGCAAAGCATTATACAACAAGCGCACAGACCGAGAAAATAAAGTAGACGGAATATTTGATGAAGAAAATATCACGTGCCTCACTAACAACTACCGATTTGAGAATAGATAGCTCATCATCGCCTTATCCATGGCCCGTCATGCCGGACCTCATCTTACATATGAGTGAGTGCCCTACAATCTTTCATGATCTACAGATAGGACCAGTGGCATCATACAGACCATCGATTCAAAAATAGATTTATACCACAACAAACTTAACTCGCCATCGCTTTATCCATGGCCGTCATAACTGGGCGAGCCTTGGGTAGGAGTGTGAATGGGTGTCATATAATCTCTCATAATCTACAGATAAGACCAGTGGCATCGTACAGACCATCGATTCAAAAAATAGATTCATACAACAACAAACTCAACTCACCCTCGCTTTATCCATGGCCGTCATGACTGGGCAAGCCTTGGGTAGGAGTATGAATGGGTGTCATATAATCTCTCACAATCTACAGATAAGACCAGTGGCATCGTACAGACCATCGATTCAAAATAGATTTATACAACAACAAACTAAACTCACCATCGCTTTATCCATGGCGGTCATGACTGGGCGAGCCTTCGGTAGGAGTGTGGGCAGATAGTCACAGCGCACATTTTTATACATCTTTAAGTAGATATCTTCGTCTTCTTGTTGCTCCTTGAACTGGACGGCCATGAACACACGCTAGAGACGTAGGTGCAAGGTACACGATAATCAGTGTTCACACAGTGAAACAACTATATACGATGCATACTTGGGATCCAACACAAAAATAGTAGATACAAAACCTGTACCCAAATGGCCAGTATGTCAATAGATTGAGCAATTCGTGTTTATGTATGTGATTTGTATGTTGAAACTTGCACTTAGCGCGTGGGTTATTGCGGGTCTCGTAAACGTGCCTTCACCATCATCATGGGTGAGTACAGGCGTTTCTCATGTGCCAAAAGCATTGTAGGAGAACTACGGCCAACGCACACTGTCTATGCCATACAAGAACCCAAAGACCCCCAAAGACAAACCAAAGGAAACAAAAAAGACTCCAGCCCGGCGATAACGAACCTTGTACTTCTGGCCAGACGACGAGTAGTGTTTGATATCATTCCCGACAGACAAAGATTCGATCGATACGGTCTTGGACTGTGCCCACACCCTCAGCTTGCGATACTCGGTGAGTGGTGCGTAGACGTTCACGCCATAACCAGACACAGTTGCTAATTCCTCTTCATTGAGACTCCTGTATGTGTGGCACAAAAGATGACTTGTGTGGTACATACAAGACGTTTCCTAATCATGTGGCCAGTAGAAGGGCAGCCAACTTTTGGCAAAACGTTTGAATCTCGTTCGAGGAGTCATACAGAATTTCACGTAATAGTTCGTGTATCGCAACGTATGATACAAATTCTAATTTTGCACACATGCATGTCTGACAAATTCGCGGTATAGTTACACGATTTCCTTTGAAAGACGGTTTAAAAACAGGGAGAACCACGAGAGCAAACATATTGGACTGTTGGTATACTTTCAGCGGGTGCACCCTCACTCATCACTCGTCATTTTTGGGAGTGCCTCGGTATAATGAGAATATCGCCGCACACGCAGTCCCTTGAGACAGAATGACAGACATATCCGAGTAGCTTATCAATCCCATGTGTACATACCCTTACCATATACAATAGCCTCCACCAAGCTTACCTGTATACCTCGTCAGTGATTTCGAAATAGTGCGCTGTCTGTAGGACCCGCTCCAACTCGGCGTAGAATGCCTGTTCCCTCGTCTTTAATCCACCTTTAAAGGTCTCTTCGTCTATTTCGTTAATGGAATACCATCTGTGTGAATGTGCAAAGGACTATTAATCGTCTTTCTGGCTGGTAGCCAATTTGTCTACGCGCATGTATGGATGAGATTATTGTAGTAGTGGCACTTAAAAGTTTAGAATTTTATTCCAATTTGTGCAGTGCTAACGCTTGACACACTTAACTTTAATCGTCTTTGTCCTTAACAGCAAACTAGCTGTGTGAAAGCATGAAAGAATTGTATCCAACACGCGTAGAGGTCTTTCGCTATACTTGGCCCCGCTTGTTGATTTCAAATCGTCTGTGCAAACATACGAATGAACTGTTTCCAATAAGTACAGAGCTAAATTGTTTGAAAGGGATGTTCCGTCAACATAGTTGAATAAACTGTTTAAATTATATTTATGTCAAGAAATTCTGATGCCTATCTACGTACCCCACTTCAGAAACTTTTATTCAAATTATTCATTATCATTTGATGGCAGACAATTGGCTTGAAAGCTATATGGATGATTTTTCTTTTCCATGATCTACAGGTAATCCGCCTGTGAATGGAGGGGCTCTTCGTGTGTTTAAATTAAAAGTCTTTTCAAGATTATCGAACGACACAAGAGACGTCCTAATGCTGAAGCGCCGCCATGGCAACCACCACATAAAGTACCATGATGGGCCTTTCTGAACGATTATATTTTTGGGAACGTGGTCGCAAAATATCTTTGTGTATAGAAAAATGTATGAAAAAGGGTACTTAGCAAAAATATATCTAATGTATATGACACGCCTATATACTCCGATTTGTACACGGCCTCAGTGGCTCGTAGACAAGAGGTATGTGTATATAATATTTGTAAATACTTCAGCTTGAACATGGTAACTGGTTGTAGCCATAACAACTTGTATATATACATATATATATCTCGAATATACATAAATTCATTCACTTCCAAAGACTTTGCATAAGTACCAGTATGTACCACATACACGACATACCTTTCTATCTCTGGGTCCATTCGCGCGTAGTGGCTCTTAATAGCAGTCAGAGGTCTGTGTGATTGCTGCGTCAGGAACGCTGTAGTGAGCCGAGCTAATTCCATGTTGTACTTGTGCTGTTCCTTCGGAATTAACAGCTGTAGGTGATCTTCCAGAGCGTATGATGCGGAGTTTAAAACCCACGTGGGATGCACCATCAAATGCATAATCGATTATGCGGAAATGCAGACGACGAATCGATATGTGACCAGAAAACGATGCAACAGAAAAAAATTGAAATGGCACTCGCC